GAATAAGTATAACAACTTATTATAGACATCGTTTGATCATTTATGAAAGATAGGATACATGACACGAATAATTCCATACATGCTCTAAATGTTTGGTAGTCTTCAGCAAACATAGAAATGCTTTCAGAAGAATCCAGCACTCCAGTCCTCTGCAACTGTGCATCTAGAGACTTCTGGGCCAAGCAACTCTACAAAATAAAGATGCAGTAAACAATTGAATGTCAAATCTCAGTTTACTCATGCAATGGCATATGGTATATCATATTGGCACAAATTATTAAGATCAATCACACTAGGTAATTTTCTTAGAAACCTGAGTAACATTTGTTCAATCAAGGCGATCAATGCAGTTCTTCTCCTCAAGTATATTGCCCTTCGCATCTACAAGGAAGTATCTGCTCAGCTGGAACAGTTTTGATTAAAAACAGTATTACATATACCCAGCATACCTGGATTTTGGCATACTTAATTCAATCAGATATTACGCTTTCATTACACTTGCTTTTCAAATGGCTCTGAGATCTGCTCGTATAGAACCTTTAGGTTTTCAAAGTTTGAGTTACCACATACATGTTGAAAGTCAAATGAAACGTATCTGCTACAAAAACACTAGTAAGTTGAGAACAAAATCTCATTTCTGACATTGTTCCCAATGCCAACCAATAGAACTGACTTCATTTTAAGCAACCTCGAAAACAAAAAAGGAATCCACTTGAAGTGGGAAAATGATTCAGTTGGGAGCCAACATAGTTGCATACATAAGTATGCAAATTGTCACCTCATGTTTGGTAGATTTTGCATTTCAGCAGAAAATGCCGTGCTTAGTTGACCTTCATCACCATGCTACAAATAACAATAAATGGAAAGCTTATAACAACTGGAAATATATGAAACAACATATACTTTGCATACAATTAAAAAAACAGTAAAACTTGTGTAGCACAAGCAATCAGCTGGGACGAGTTATAGACACCATTGCTTATTTAGTGAATCCCAGAGCCACAAAAAGGTGAGCATGTCGTACAAACACAATTTGAAGGAAAAAAATTGCAAACTTTTCAGCTTAACGTAAAGGTGAACCAGTGTGCAAGGATTGTTAAATTCAAAGTAAAAAGTTAAAAAGAGAAGAAACCCTTACTTTATCAGTTAGGTCTATTGCCATTGTCTCTCCATATCTTTGGGAAAGATCAAAAAAAGGTGCTCCGCAACATTTGACTGTAAGTAGATTGGGAAAATTCAGAAACTACTCTAACAAGAACTGTACCATGAAGCCAGAAATGAGTAAAAAGGGATGGATTTGCATCTCTGGCAACAAATTACTCTCTGCTCATGAGTAATAATCCTAAGTTGTGGTTTATAGCTCATGTCAACAATTTGCTACCAAAGAAGCAGAATTGAACCTCGAATCTGAAAAACATATCAAAAGTATTATGGAAGGTTTTTATTCAGAAAAAGGGAATAGATAAATAAATCTTCTTGAATAAAATTTTTGACAAAACTTCCAATCTATTATCAGTCTTAAGGGTTAATAGTGAAACAGCGTCTGCATATTTAGAAAGTATAGTATTGAAAAAGTTCTCTAAATGTATAAAAGTTGGCAAAAACCAATCTATCCTTGCTAAACTGTACAAAAGTTTCATCTATGTGAGGGGCAGTCCATAAACCTCAGAAAAGAATGACAAAGTTCTACAATTATGATATTTCTCACATCAACAAGGAGCGCAGAATGTGAAGAAAGTTGAGGTTCCACCATAAAACCAATTCGCAATATGGGGATTAGCCCAATTTACTTATAAGCTCATGCAAGGTCCCTCCTCCCATCAATATGGGATTCATTCTCAACAGAATATACTTTTCTCAAATGTTTAATCCTCGGCCAACTTAGTTGATCACATGTACAATGACACCATGATATAAGCTAATGTCCTATTTAGGCAAAGAAACATAATAGTAACTAAAAATACTCCGATACAATAATACCTCAGCACACATTTCTTTTCTGAACCTTCATATGAGAATTACCTGCAATAATGAGGGCTGGAAACCTTCAATCTCCACCAACTGCTCACTTTCAAAAAAATTAGCAACATCTCCATCAAGGTTGGCTCCTCTTCTCCACATTCTTGTCCCTACGAGACCACATTACAGTGTTTCATGTTTAAGTCCTTCAAAACATGCAGATACGGACACAAAAGTGACTACAAGAATCAATCATCTCTATAAGATTGTGCCTAGATGCCGGGTACACCTCCTTGAGACTATCGTAAGTGTGGCAGATAAGCCTTTAGCTTTAGCTGTGCAGTCTGGAAGCTTAAATGTAGGTCACGGAACACCATAACATATTACTCACCTAAACTCTGAATCTCAATCTTAGAGAGAGAGGGAGAGAGAGAGAGAGGGACATACACATAAGAAATCAGTAAATTCAGGATATTTCCTTGTACTAGAGGAATAATGAACCCATCAAGCTGCTATGAGAAAATTAATGAGCATTAGCAATAAAATTTGTGCGCGAAGAACTGACGACTTTTGGAAATGCTGTTCTTCCTTAAAGATATACATTAAGTGGTGGTAAGCGAGAAAATACTTTAAATTGTTTAACTAATTATGACCTCAAAGATGGAAAATCTAACCTTATACTTGATAAGTTGGTCCAAAAGATTTCTGTTCCAAACAAATCGAGGATCAGCCTGAAAACACAAATGATTTCTGTTCCAAACAAATCGAGGGTCAGCCTGAAAACACAAATAATGTTAAAAACTACCAAGCAATTACTAGTCATAGATCATAATGTGTAAAGTAAACATTTGATAGGAGCTAAAATGGCATTAAGAGAAAAAACTGATAAACATCCATATGATATGGTGTGTCAGTTGACTCGATACTCATGCTTTCTCGTCTTCTAGTGCTGACAAAAAAATCCTTTCGATAAAGGGGAAGGGAGAATCTCTTGACAACCAAAAAATTGCACAAAGGATGGCATGTTTTCAAGGATATGAACTGAGAAGGCATCTTTATTGAGCTGATACTTTCACCTTGAGAACAAAAGATAAGTATAGTGCACAAAAACACAGAAGTTGGCAAATCCTTAGGGCGGTTTTCCTTTCTTTCCCCATTAACCCTCTGAATTGGAAAGAGTTGAGGATGCCTAGTAAACTAAACGCGTGGACAATATATATGCTTATATGCACCTGATGTATATAACATGAATCACTTTTAAGAACTAATCAGGTCCCGATAAACCCAATATTCCAAATTTCCAACTAACCTGCTTCCATATTGGTTTGGCCATCCATCCTTCCACTAACTTACATCTTCTTTGAAAGCTGGTAGAAATGATCAATTATATATGATTAAATAAAGAAATACAACACTTTACCGAATAGATACATAAATAGACATAAGAATTTACTTTAGTGTTATATCAGTCTTGTACGAGAAGTACAGCCCCGGAGTTGATTGGACTGTTTTCAACAGAGCCATGAAGTACGCCTCATCCTTTTTCTGCACAAACACATCACAAAATTAAAACATCCCAAGTCACTCTCAAACTCGCTAACGAATGAAAAGAATCAAAACCCTTACCTCCTGAGCAGTTGAATTCTTCATACCCTCGTTGTAGGACAGAAACCTCATCGAGGTCACTCGATAAACAGGGAAGCCGAGATAAGTCCCAACTTCCGTCCGCGAAGTTATTACAAGAGCATAATTTCCTGCACCAAACACATCAATTCAGCAAACAAACACCATTCCCTGGAAATATAGCCATTCAATCCACAGATTTATACAATACAACGGAAAAAAGTTACACATTTTCGTTTCGAAATACTCCAAAGCGAGTAAAAGCAAGCAATTGACTTACTTGTAAGCAATCTGATCGTTCCCGCCACTCCGTATATCGTCGAGGTTTTGTTTGGGGCTACCCGGATGACGAGAGATTTTTCCAGTGTTATCATGTCTCACTGTTTAAACGGTGAGATATTAATGTTAAAAAGTTAATAACTTAAAAAATAAAATTTCTCATCATTTACATAAAAATATGCGGTGGTATACCATTTATATTTCCGTCATAATTAAAAATTTCTCCTAGATGACGGGTTACAAGGTCTACACCGATTGCGAGCAGTAAGGATCCTTAGCCGAAGATCTGGAGAGGATCTTATCCCTTCTTATCACCTAAACAACTCAACAAGTCTCTCATTTTTTATATACACGAAGCGAAAAATCCAAGAAGGTTTGAACTTGTGTCACGACCAACAATAAAACTATTCATCCCCATAAGTAAATTCATGTGCTTTTGTTTCTGGTACACGTCGGAATAATTTGTTGAAATTTATATATACTGAAGCGGAATGAGAAAAACACTGTTCATAAGCAACAGTGTTTTGACATTTTTGCCCTTATTTTAATGTTTATGTGTTCCTACTTTTTGTGCTTTGACAGTGAAATTCCCAAATTGCACACATGGCATGCTAGGGAGATTTGCAGCACCGCTTCATTCCTCTCATCTGCACCGTTTCCTTCCTCTTCCACTCCGAATTGATACGGAAAATGACTTTTCTTTGGCATTCGCTATTGGCCTCCATCCTTTCTGTGTATGTTTTCGCTGGATGAGCCTTGTTTTCCTTTTTCGATCTTATTGATTTTTTCTTTTCTTTTTCCCATTTGGGCTAAATAGTTCTCAAACTTCCGAGCGATTGTCGATAATCGTTGTTGTTGTGAATAAATTTGGTCAATGACTTGCTAAAACACCAATTCTCCATAGCCGGAGCATTATTAGATGAAGCTTTGTGGAAGAAAAAAATAAATAAATAAAGGGATAGACAGGGCACTATTAGATGACCAATGTCGATAATCGTTGTTATATAAATATATCATTCAAAAAAAAAAAAAAAAAAGTTTCACCCTAAACACTTTTCTATTGATACTTCATCCTTGTAACTAAACAAGGGGAATGAATGGTGCACACAGAAACCTCAATGTATTTGTAAGGCAGTTGCTTCGGGGATATAAAGAGTCCTTCAATACCATCACCACCGATCACTTTAATCCTCCCATGCCTACCAAACAAATAAGAATCAAAACAACAATGTGATTTGTGTGATGCAGGGATATCATATCTCCAAATAGATGTACGTAATATCATGCCTTCATTGCAGTATCTACAAGCATGCTTCACCAAATATGCATGTGTATTTTGCCATTCAAAAGTTCTGGGACCACAGAAACGAATAGCAATTCCGAGAAATGTGGAACAGCAATGCTTTGCAGCAAGATACCTCATTAACCACACGACAGTGCGCAATGCTAAGTAGATTGGTTTTTGATCAATTCGCACAACGAAAACAGCATAAACAAAAAAGAAGAAAGAAGAGAGTAGGTGCATTTTAACTCACATTGTTCCAATGGCCAAAAGGCGCTGAATCGGGTCGAAAGCAAGAATGGAGGCCGTGGATGGGATGCCATAGTGAACTGCAACTCGCAGGTCCAAGTCTTCCGCCGTCAAACTCCCGTATGGCAAATTATGCTGAAACCAACAATTTCCAATACAAAATCCCAATTTAAGAAAAATGGGTAAGAGGCTCCAAATTCATACAATCCAAGTATTCGAGCATAAAAATACACAGAAATGAATAAAAAATAATCATAAAAAATAATCCATTGATGCAATATCCAGTTTTCCAGGACACTAACAAGATAAAGCATCGGAATTTAATCCACCCCAACAAAAAAGAAACGGAATTTTAATCAAAAAAACGCAAATTACGAAGCTAAACTGAAAAATTCGAAAAAAAAATGACAGAAAAAAGTGGCGGCGATCGAATGCTTGGAATACGACTTTACCTGAGAGTTGTTTATGGCTTTCTGCAAAAGCCGCTTGGCGAACATTGCGAATTCGAATTTGCAGCTGAAATCTTTGGCTTTCTGCAAAAGCAGCTGGATTGGACTAGCGGAGGAGACTTTCTATGTTTGTTTCAGTCAGTGATCATACCGATGGCGCTCCTGCTCTTAAGAGCTGTAATAATTTCGAATTAGTCAATGACAAAAATTGAAATTAAATGAACAAAATAAATAAAAAGGTGCTTAGCCGTTGTTTATGGGGTTTGTATCCTCTGCAGTCGCGATTATTTTTCATATTCGGTACGCAGTCGGCAATCCCTTCGTTAGAAGCGAAGGCAAAACGGAGACGTTTTTGGCATGTTTGCTTGCATTTTGCACCATTTGGTTGACACAAGCCATTACAAATGCAGTAGATAAAAGTAGACATCACCAAAAGCCGTCACGGAAAGCAAAAGAAAGCATTAGCAATATCTTCTTGTTTTCTTTTCATACAAGTAATTTTTTTTTAAGTTGAATTGTAATTTAATTTGATCTGCAAAAAAGCACTCGACTGCGTACAAGGAGCACATTTATTTTACTCAAAGTGGTTATGCTTAAGTCTACAAAACATAACTCGTCATATATCAACAACTTATTCTCATTAGAGCAAATTTTATAAAAGAAACCAAACTGAACCAAATCTATTACCTGGTTGGAATCACCAATTGATGGGTTATTGTGCCCACTTCTAGAGCTACTTTGAAGTAGGGGTGGTAGTGGGTCGTGTCGAGGTACTAATCATTTGGGACATTATTCGACTCCTAAAAAAGAAATCACTCCTTATTCCTACAATTATATTTTTATCATATATGCATAAATAATTTTTAAAAACAATGACACACCTCGATTGGGATCAAGGCATGCTGGCCGTCACGTGGAAGTGACGTAACCATGTGCACAGTGCGGAAGCTAATAAAATAATAATAAATAGTACGGATAAATAAAAACTAGCTTTACATAAGGTAATAACGAACAAGTGCAAGCGTAAGTGTGAACCCTAAGTTCAGAGCAAGAACGCCTAATGCAGTCCAAAAGGAAACAACACAACAAAAGCACACCCGAAGGTGGTCCTACACTGGTGGTGGTCTGTCAGATATGTCGGGAAAATCCTCAGGGAAGCCACCAAACGTGCTAGCCAACTAGAACCTGAAGGGGCGCAAAACAAAAGCGTGAGTGGGCAAAAACAAAGCTTTCCGAAAACCAATTTAATAAATAAGTTTTAACCCCTCGCCGTAAAACCTGTATACTTCCCAGAAAATAGAATATATATATATATATCATGCTCAGGAATATGCTATGCCAAAACCTCAAAGTAAAATGCAAGTGCTCAGGTAATGTCATATCAATGTCATATAATCTGTCAGCCGGAGTCACCTAACGTGACCTATACGGCTGAATCTAGAGCTCAAATCTCCATCTCTCTAGCTAGACCTGCACACGAGTCGGAACCATCTAAAGTGGTCTGTACAACAGGCCTGGGTGTAATATAAGTACGCTCTAGTGCTACGATCACGTGAAGGCTGGGCGAATAATTGCGGGTCACCTACGAGTCGGAACCACCTAAAGTGATCTGTATGACAAGCATGTGCACCTAACTTGGATCCAAGATGAGCGTGTGGTGCAAGAGGTGAACATCACGTGAAGGACTGTGCCCAACTCTAGGCGGGAGCACTAACGCCGGGGGTGCAGGTTATGAGCTCTCTATGTATCTAGAATCACTACTGAACGTAAATGTAAAATCATACTCACCTGGCACTTACCTGTGCGTCCACGGCACCAATACACATGTATATATGTATGACTAATAATGCATAAACGAACGGCAACCAATAAACATGGCATAATAATGTAAAAACATTTTAATTCATTTTCTGGGAAACGTATAAGTATATAGGTATATACGGAAAACCAAAAGCCCACTCACTGGTACGTAGAAGGGTCGTAACCCCCTTGCCTCCAGTGACCACGCTCGTCCTCGGGATACGTCTCACCTATATGCGAAACAACTATAAAAACGTTAATTTTAAAGCACATAACCAACCTTTAGAAATAACTTCTCATACATTGCTCAAATGGGGTGTATGAATACACCAACGTGATCTACTCAACCTCAGAATCATCCCCATATTTTTAGAAAAAAATTTCACCGCCGCACGAGCCCCCACGCACCGGCCAAGGCACGGCCACAAGCGCCGGCCACGCGCAGGCACATGCCTGGCACGCTGACGGCGTCAGTTAACGCCGTCAGGAATATTCCGTTATCTTTAACGGTTTTCGTCAACGGCGTAAGGAATATTCTGTCCAAACTGACGGAATATTCCGTTCGTCGGCGCCGGAAAATCACGAAATCTTTAAATCGTCCTATCTTCTTCGTTTTTCAACCAAATTTCACAAAATTGGTACCAAAATGAAGCTTACAACGAGAGGAACAAAATCATACCACTTTCAAGTGCTAAAATCCACAAAATCTCACCTGGAAAACTCCACCATTTCCGGCCAACTTCGAAACTCACAATCCCGACGTCCAAAACCTTCAAACGAACCACCCCGAGCCTCCTAGGGACCTCACCAAGCTCCCTACAAGCTTGAAATTCCCAAAAACATTACAATTTACGTGTGCATGAACAGTGCCAAAAATCGGGTATCTCGAGTTCGACGTGAAAACGAAGGTAACCTTACCTGAAATGGGTATGGTTGGACTCCTACGAGCCTCACGAGCATGGATAGGTACTTTGTTTCTTCGATCTGTGATGATTTGGTGTGTTTGTGTGTGTGTCCGTACAATGGAGGGGGAAATGGGAAAAAGAGGGCTCGGGATAGGGGGTGCAGGGCAGGGGAAAGGTGAGGGTGAGTGTAGGGAAGAGTGTGTGGTGCAAAACCAGCCACACCAAACCAAAAAGAATAACCACACAACGAAAAATCTCGCTAGGGGCAAAATCGTCTTTTCACGCGTACGTTTTTTAAAATTTCCGGAACGGGCTATTACAAACAAGATATTTATTATTAATACTCTAAAAAAGTCAAATTATGCACTTTTAAAATTTTTATTTGGAAAGATATACTCTTATGAAAAGTGTAGAATTAAATTTTAAAATGCCAATAATAGATCTCAAAAAGAAAATAAGAAGAAAAAGTTTCTAATGCACATTCAAAAGACATTTTAGCTAAAATGGTATTTTAAGACTGACATAACTTCTCATTTTGGTATTTAAGATTTGAAATCAATAAAAACAGTCCCTGAGTTTGTCCACCATTTATTATTTTGGTCATTTTGTGAAAATTCTGTTAAATAAAGACTAAAATGACAAAATTACTGTCAAGTTAATAAACAACGGGCCAAAATAATTTGTTAGAATTGAGGGTATTTTTGTCATGTTATTCTTATTTAATGGAGATTTTTCATGGAATGACCAAAATAATTGATGTGGACAATCTCAGAGACCACTTCTGTTAATTTCAAATATCAGGAATCAAAGTGAAGAAGTGTGTCAATCTCAAAGATCATTTAGATAAAATAAAAAAAATAAAAAATAAAAAAACCTTAAAAATGATTAGCAAGAATAGTACAGGCCTAATGGGTAAAAGGGAATATAGTACAAGCCCAATAAACCTAACGGACCAAAAATAGGAAAAACTAAAATGGACCGAGAGTATCCGACAATCAACTGCTTATGCTATTTCGGCAACAATACTATAACTACCAATTTCTTTGAAAAACAAATAAGGATAATATAAAAAGAAAAAGTAGAAAAATATAAAGTTAGTTTTTTGGAAACTTATTTTAAAATAACTGAAAATATTTTTTATGAAAATATTTAATAAATTAATCTTTGTAAAAATACTAATGAAGTATGAAACAAGAAGGTATCATTAATGCATCTTACTTGATGTGCTTTAAGTGCTTCTAAAACTCAGAAACATTTTATCTAAAAGACATTTAAGTTATTTAAGAAAACTTCCAATCCAAATGAATAGTTGGAGTTGTTCATCTACACGTCGTCTCATCTCATCAGAGTTTTCTACAATGTCCAAAACATAATGTAGTAAATTATGTGTCATTATACAAATAACGAACAATTGTGCTAAAATACATAAACAATAAAACTTCCGTCCACTCCTATAGTGCCACGTGGTATTGCTGACCCGAAAATTTTCTCCATTTCATTGCTGACCTGCCACAACCATTACGTAATATCTTTCGAACTTCATCGCTATCCCAAATAATTCCCTCCTCCTCATCCAACGAACAGTTCGACCTCCAAGCTCCCAATTTTCCTCCTCATGACCATGACAGTTCTGCCGTATCAGGTTAAAATATTCAGCTATTTGATTAATTTTTATTGGGTTTTAGTTCAATTTTTTTAGTTCTTATTTTATGAATTTTTAACGATCAGAAATGATGGGTTATTTTTTTACAAATTACAGTCCTATGGGATCTCTTAGAACTTGGAAAGCTCACAACTTTGATGGAAATTATATTGAAATTTTGACTTTTTATTTGTGGGTTAATTCTTGAGTTAGCATTTGGAATTAAGCTCCTGGTTCGAACTTGAAGTTTCTGGTTGTCGATTTGGGTATTCTGCAATTGTTATAAGCTGAGTATGTCGCTGTGATTTCTAATTTTCGACTCGGTTTAACGGTTGCTATTGTTTTACTGGTGTCCTGCAGATGATGTTAAGAATAATGAGAGGGCGAATTACTTCAATACCGCTGCATTGGATGTCTCAGTTGCTTTTCCGCAAGCAACGCCGACTTCTATTTTTCCTCCCTGCAGTAAGAACATTAACCATCATTATATACTAGATATCGTATGGATAAACTTGTATGTGTGTCTATGGAGAAATTGTCTTTTGTAAAACAGTTCAGGATTTCCTCTTGTTATGTAACTTATGTGAATCCAGACTATTGATTCGAATTTTTCGGATTTGCGTATTCATCTTGTCTCACTTTTTGCATTCTGGTTTGTTTACTTTGTTTCCTTGTGAATATTTAGCACATTGCTCGTGCACCTCTTTAGTTGTTGTGATTTTGATTTGTAATTTGAAGAAACGGGCAACTTCAGTAATTAACTTCCATATTCTTATCTCTTGGCCTTAAAAATTTACAGCTTCGGATTACTACCAGATTGATGATCTATTGACA